TCTTGGCGGTTGCTTCTGACTCACCTGGAAAGACCTGGAAGGCTGAATAACCCCCTGGGAAACCAGGCTCCCCAGATGGCTCCTAGAGCCTCTTGCTAGAGACACTCAGGGTTTCTGACAGGGTGGGCAGGGGGTCACAGACAGTCCCATTGCATGCACCCCTTTCTCTCCTGATGGGAGGATCCTGAAGTTAGGAAGTTCTGGCAGGAGAGGGTAACCCCTCCCCAAGCAGGGCTGAAAGGGGGCACGATGGCATTCCTAGAAAGTCTCCTTAATAACAGAACAGCACAGGCCTGTGCTCACTACCCCGCCTCCCAGCAGGTATGCGGGCGTACAAGTATACACAGTAGGTGCTTCCCAGCGGGAGCAGAAAGCAGAGCAGATCGGATTCGGCACTCTCTGCCACCCCCATTCCAGCAAAGGTCCCCAGGTGGGGCAGGCGATCAGCCCTCACTCCGGGAGCAAGGGAAATACTGAGGGCCACTGGAACACGTCAGTTCAGAAGAGGCCATGCCCTCTGCCACTGCCTCTCGTCCTGAGGAGCATCCTCACTGAAAATGTCCTGACCTCCAAAGTCTTTAAAAGATCACAAAATTGTGATCCCTCAGCTGGGAGATCATGAGAGATTCCCCAGAGAGAGAAGTCAACTGCCCTCAACCCATCAGGTACCTCGAAAAGGCGCAGGTGCACACCCAGAGGCCTGTGAGTACCTGACACTTCCTATGCTTGCTTCACGGGGAAGCTGAAGAGCTCACCCTCCTCAGGTGGCTGCTGTGACAGCCGCACACGTTCAAGATGCTTTTCATCCTCTTATCATCTGTGAACAAGGCTCAGCATGGGCAAGTGACCAAACTGAGGTCATACGGTAAGCACTCAGTAAGGCACAAGTCAAAGCTACACCTGAATATCTGGAAAGACACTACAAATATTTTATTTACAGACAGGGCCTCATTCTGTTGCCCAGACTGGTCCTGAACTCCTGGGCTCAAGCAATACTCCTGCCTTGGCCTCCCAAAACGTTTTTTTTTTTTTTTTGCTTTTCTTGAGTCAGAGTCTCACTCTGTCACTCAGGCTGGAGTGAAATGGCATGCTAACAGCCACCGCAGCCTCGACCTGCTGGGCTCTGGCGATCCTTCTGCCTCAGTCTTCCAAGTAGCTGGAACTACAGGCCTGCACTGCCATGCCCGTCTAGTTTTTGATTTATTGTACAGATGAGGTCTTGCCAAGTTGCCCAGGCGGGTCTTGAACCCGTGGTCTCAGGCAATTCCCTCACCTGTGCCTCCCAAAGTGCTCAGATTACAGGCGTGAGCCACCACACTAGGCCCTCAAAAATTTTAATGAGAGCCACCACACTCGGTCCTCAAAAATTTTAATAAGTGTTATGTTTGAAGAAAAAGACTGTCAAGCAAGAGGGAGAATTATTTCCCTATCTTACACTTTTTTTTTTTTTTTTGAGTTAGAGTCTCACTCTGTCACTCAGACTGGAGTGCAGTG